GTTATAGATAATTTAATTAAGTGCAGAAGGAGAAAGAATATTAGTAATGGATCGAAACGAGGGCCAGACATATGGCCTGCCCGAGCGGCGTGCGAGGAAAGCATGACTTAGAATACGAGGTCGCTACGATCTAGTGAATCCCCAGTTTAATTGTACAATACTCAGAAGTTGTTGTTTATTACTTAAGGTCAACTTCTGAGGGTACATGATGCGTCTCTAAGTCCTAGTATCTTAGCCCATGACTGGCATGCCTAAAACAACTGGTCTCCCATTCGCAAACGTAAATATTTCAGTGAAAACAGCTTGAGAACGGGCCGAACCTGGAATTCGCTATACAGGCATGGAGACTTGGGACTGCCTAATACTATACCGTCTTAGAGACTGCCCAGCAAATTAGTGCTAACTCATCTCATACTCATTAGATATTTTTTGGGACGGCCCGGACACGAGTTATCACTCGGGCAATCTTGAGGATAGCAGAACAAAGGAATCTTACTGGCGACCAGTTCATACAGTTACAAGCGACCATCAAAGGGTGGATATTAGGCCAGGACAAAGAAGGCGCACGCAAGCAAGACTGTCCTGTGGCCAGCTTGTGGCAATCGGTAGGTCACACTAAGCGCACGCGGGCTATGCCTTCTTTTGTGCTAATAGTACACGGTAAATCATTGTGGTAGATGAGGTTACTTTCGTAACGGTGAGAGCAGGCAACCGCAAATATGTGGAACCTTGGTGTGACAGTGCAACAGTCATTATTTTTTTCTCTCTTTCCTGGCATCAAGGCATACTGTATAAGTGCATCGAATGGAATAAGCGGACAACGATGCAATTTCCGTCTCAAAACCAACTAAACGCTGATAGTAGTGATCACGATCTTGCGACAGACCAGACGAGTCTGATATAGCAGAGGTTGAAAGTGCTTATTTGTTCAGTTTTCCACCCACTAGATTGTCGTCTGCATCAGAGCATGGAGCTATACCCAGCCCCCCCCCCCATGGTCAGAACAGTTGGCAACCATGTCAGTGTACGAAAGGTGATTAATGGCGGAAATTAAGCACCAGGCCAACGACGGGGTCTTGCCAGCTCTTGGTTTGGCCTTACCAGTCCGCCGTCTGTTCACATACCCGCCGTCTGGTTACTGGTATCTGTTTATGGAGTGCGTCAGCGCGCCAAAGCTTCTGACTTGTCCCTTCCAATCAACAGATGCAGGTAGATAAATCCTTCCCCTATGGAAAGATGGTGTGAGGCTGGCTGTTTGATCCGTGCCTGTGAGATCAAAGAGAATCATCTCAAAGGAGCCGGGGCTACAAGTTTCGGAATGGACAAGTAAGGTATTGGTAGATTATACAACTAGCAAGTGCAGAAGCAACAATCTGTACGAATGCCGGGCTTTTGGAAAATGAGGTGAAACCCAGTGTGTCTAAACAGAAACCAAGGGACTACGCGGTATAATTGGCAGCATTTGGTAGATACGTCATCTTACCCCAAATGTGAACTCTTCAGCTACCGCAGTGGGATTCAAACCCTAAGTGTAGTTAAATTCGCACCTTCCTTTCGGGCTTTCATAGCTTACGTAACTAGACACTTGGCTGTGCAGACTATTCGTAATCGATGTTATGGGTTCACGCCCCACCGAGGCCACCCATATTTTCAGAATTGGCTCGAGTAAAAGTACTATATTCAACAAGCTGGGTTAGTTGACTAAATGTAATACCGGCGCAGTTAAACACCTGGATAACATAGTATCTACTAAAAACGGGATGCAGTCTGGTCCCCCATTGTGTTCAACTGACCGAAAATTCTAGGCATAGAGGGTGTACATTCGTCTGCCGATGACATCAAAGCAGCAGTAACAGGCCCAACTGTAACTTGCCTCCCGATCCATCTATTAGCACAGACTGCATAGCCGGACACATGTTAAACGCTTGAATCCACAAGGAGAGAGAGAGAGAGGAAACTGCATATGCTCAAACAGCTCTTAAAAATGGGTCGTCAAGTAACGGCTGTATTGTAGAGGCAGAAGAAAATTGCAGTATAGACCCCCAAGTAGCATAAACGTATGCTCACCAGAGGAATTAGAAGACTGGCGACCAGCGTTGTTATTATCCGGTTCAGCGTTAATGCCCACTGTGCTGGCTGAAGCCGAAGCAGCAGGCGCAGGTGGCGGCAACATTTTATTCCGATTGGCAGCTCCTGCTG